CGTCCCCCGCCGCCACCAGCTCCGCCATCCCGCACGGCCTGCGGGGCCCGGCGCTCAACAGCGGAGCCGGCCGCGGGCCCCGGCCGCCATCACAACAACCCCCGTCTCCTCCCGGGGACAGCCGGACTTCCGGGATGGCAGCTACTTCCGGGTCAGCCACAGCATCCAGGGCCCCGCAAATCGCTGCGCGCGAACCCGCTGCGGCTCCGCCCCCGCACGCGGGAGGACCCCGAGCCGGGGGCAGACAGGGGAAGAAAGAAAACATGAAAGGAAACCTCGCGTCATAGGCGGCCCCCGTAGACAGGCTAGAGCCACGATCACTTCCGGGACAACCGGAAGCAAAGCGTCAATAGTTTGAGCGGGAGGAAGCGGCTCTTTTCATGGGTTTCTGCTCGTCGCTTTTAGAACATTTGGGGAAAATCCCTTCCGGGTCGCCTGAGGGGAGTGGGCGGGAATTTGAACTCAACGCTTCCAGGGATGCTGGGCTGCTATTGGCTGGTGCGGGACGTCATTTCCGACTGGGTCTCGGCGGTCGCTGAAGGTGAGTGAGGTGGTAGAGGTGTCAGAGTTACCTTCTGTCTCCTGTGCGGGGGTTCTGCTCCGCCTCCGCGCCCGGGGCCTTGTTTCTGGGGCGCAGCCACCGTATTTCCAGGCCCATAAAGAGGACTCCTGTTGTGGGGTAGGGGAAATATGATGGGGGGAGGGCAGTGACACGTCGGTGCCCTGTCCCTGCCCCTGGTCTTGCCCCTCACTGACAAGCCACAGCTCCCCTATCCCCCAGTCCTGCTGGTGCCCTTCACTCCCAAACAGCAGCACCCTGCCCTCACTCCCGACCTCAGCCCCGCTGCCCTAGTAGCCCCCACATTGTGCAGGCTTTGCTTCTCTTCTCCCTTCCCCGCCTGAGTGGGGAGCACGTGCCCCCTGAGCAGCCAGCCTGGGAGAGGAGAGGAACTGCAAAAAACCCAGATGCTTGCCATTATTTTAAAATCCTGCCCAGGCACCACGTGGGTCCAAACAAGAGGATGTGTCTGGGAAAACCTGGATGTATGGTAACCCTAGCTTGGGCAGTGGTTGGGGGTGGGGCACTCCTATGAGGGCAGCAGCTGCCCCCTGGGAAGCCCTGAGGTAAACTGAGGCAGCCCCAGGATCAGCTTTTGGCTTGGAGCTGCTGCCACGTCCAATAGAAGGCGAGTGGGGGAGGGGGAGGGCCATGGTCTTCTAACAAGACATGGTCTCTTTTCCTGTGGCCCCTGAGGGCAGCCCTGGGTCTGTGCGGGTTTGATGTCTGTTCTGCTCTAGGTCGAGACGATGGCTGGTCGCCGAGTGGCACAGAAAGCCATCGACTGGGTGGCATTCGCAGAGCATGTGTCGCCTGACAATCGCATCAAGTTTAATGCCCTGAAGACCATCAGTGACACCATTTCGTCCAGGTGAGTGGGTTTCCGGGGAGCTTGGGCTTGCAGCAACCTGGCACTGGAGGCTTGTAAAGCAGCAGGGTGGTGATGCACGGGCAGATCTAGGGGGGTGCGGGTGGGGGGTGCATCATTATCACATAGAAAGCAATGCATCTTCTTCAGTTAGCAAAGCTTCTGATTTCTTTTATTATGCTTGGGGCCTTGGGCATTACTCAGTTTAAAATGAAAGCAACAAAGAAAGCTTTATTGGAATGAATTAAAAACAATCTGTGAAGGAGCAGCTACAGACAGCAGAAATGCAGAACAAAGGCTAGCTTGACGGGTGGAACATAAAGAGCGTTAAAACAGAGAGGGTTGTTAACACCCTGGAATGAAGAGTTTAGAAGGAACTAGGTAGATGACAAGGAGCCATGAAGTCCAGTGACTCCCTCAGCACTGCCACGGCCAGGCAGGTGCTTTTAAACTTTGGATGGAGCAGGAAGCAAAGGAGGGTGCAAGTGCACCCCCCACCCCAATGCACCCTGTGGTGACTTGACAGAATTTTCTTAGCTCTGTACTTAACAGCAGTTCTTAACATGAATCCTCTTTCCAAAGGGAAGCCTGTTGTTCGCTGGTACAGAGTCTACCCTGGCTCAGCCTTCCCCACAGTGACACAGGAAGAATAACATTAGCAGAAGGCCTGAGAAAACAGCTATGTCTGATGTGGTCAGAAAGGCTTAACAGTTGAATTTGCTATCCAAGCTTTTTATAAGATGTGTAGCGAACCCTGGGGGAAGTCAGATTAGCTATTGCCCATCTCTGTTGTGATTGCTAGGTGCACACAGTACTTGGCTTCAGCAGCCAGGGAATGCCTTAAAAGCCTCTGTATAAGCACCTCTATCTTGTGTATATATATCCTCCACTGTATAAAGATTGGAAGTGTGTGTTTAACCAAAATAATGAAAATCCCAGGTTTAGCTGCAGAAGCATGGCTAAAACAGAAGGCCACAAAGCTTGTTTCTTAGTAACCATAAAGTGAATATCTGTAGCTATGACAACCAGCCTGGTCAGCAAAGTAAAGGAAGCCAGTGATGTGTCCAGCTGAACTAATAATGAGTTCACACACAAAAAGGAAATGCAAAGGCTGGAAGGAAACATCATTAGGGGTGCACCGATAGAGATTTTTGGGGCTGATACTGACAGCTGATATTTAAGGAGGCATTTTGGCTGATACCGATTCAATTTCTGATACAGCTGCCTCCAGCTGGTCAGTCTGGTGTGGTGGAAGGGGCATGGGTGGGGGGCAGATCAGTGCCCCCGCAGTGGGGGA